TCTCTCTCTTTAAAACTTGAAGGTCTCACCTTGTGACTGAACCAGCTTCCTCCCTCTCCTCCCCTGCAGTGCTGCCAAGTAAGGCTTGGAGCAAAACAGGCATCCAACCAGCGCTGGAGGAAGGAAACTTCAAGTGAAAGCCCAGCCCCTGGGCTTCCTCTACTAGGGAGGAGGAACTTCCAGCTTCCAAAGCTTGTGAAAGCAGGGGGTAGAACACAATTCTTCCTGGGTAGACTGTAGGACAGTGTCGAGAATATCTGGATTCCATGTTGTGAGGAAGCCACAGAAGAAAACTGCTGCTTTATAGCTGGACAGATGGGTATTGGTGGGGCTGCATCTCGACTCACTAACTGCTGCCACCACTAGAGACCTCACTTGAAGCTCTGTTGCATTTCATCTATAACCTGCTGTGGATGGCAAAACTCCAGTGCTCCTAAGTATGAATTGAGTGATCTCTGACCAGCACGTACAGCTGAGGATCCCATGGATTGCTTGTAAAACAAACTGCAGGTCTTGCTGCGTGACCTGCAGCTTGCTGCTCCATGCCTTGGAGATGCTGCAGCACAGGTTTTACTTACCACTGCTGCAGAATGAGCTAGGGATGGGCAAGATGGGGCAGCAGCCTAGAGAGCCAATTTTAATGGTAGCCCCCCACCGTGGGGGAGTTTATGCTTTTAGCAGCGTCCCTGTACCATGGTAGCAATAGCTGGGTGCAGGGACACCGTGCTGATGTTGCTGCTGTGGCAGGCAGACACTTTGAGTAGTAGGGAAAGTAATACTGGGCATTCTGCCCTTTTTTTGCTCTGGAACTTGGAACCCCCCCCAACGCTTTCTGGCAGGGGCTCTGGCTAGGGTGCAGAACTTAAGTCACAGCTCTGCAGTCAGACAACTACTTTTTAAAGTGTCAGGTCTGCACAGCAAAACTTCAGCAGGATGAAGGGCGAGATTCTGGTTCTCTAGTGCTGGGGTAGAAAATAGCTGGCTGATGCCATCACTTTTGTACTACTTGCAGCAAACAGGCTTCTGCAGCACGTGGATCCCAGGGCCTTGGGCTGAGCACTGAGTGCAGTGTGCTGGGATTCCAAGTGGCTTGCAAGCTACCACGGACCAGATCCAGACATTATAATTTTACCTGTAAGTGATCAGAAGCCACTCTAGACCTGTAACAACAGAAGCTTTTGGACCAGGTTCTACCACTTGTTTAAACAAGTCTGTGTGCCAAGACTTGTGCCCCCCCCCTGCAAAAAAAAGTGTGGGGGGTGGATGTGTGTTCTGTTTTACTACCTACAGAAAACTGTAACTTGGATCTTTTTTTGCTTCTGGCTTCTTGAATCTGTACCTAGCCATAATATTCCCTCTTGACAAGGGATTGAGCCTCCCCACCAATGTTCAGGATAGCCTTAACTAGCTGAGCTTTCATCTGATCTCCAGTAGACCTTTTTTCAGTGGGGAAAATCTCTGCTGCGTGAGGAGCTGGCCTGGTGACTAATGCACAATGTGTTTTGCTTGCAACAGTCATGTTAGAACGTGGTTGGAAGTAAAGGGAATAGCTGTGGTACATACTGGGTGCATCTACATGTGCTTTAATGTGCTGTAACTTATTTTTATGCTTTTGCTACTGCACATTAAGGCAGCCTAATAAGATACCTCACATTGGAGGTATTGTAATATGCATTAGGAAAAGTGCACTAATGTACATGTAGATGTGCCCACGGACACTTTGCAGGCTGGAAAGCATGCATGCTATGTATATCTTACACGGACAAATCTGTAGGATGTAGTAATGTCTGCTCTTAAGTAACTTCAGTGAAGCCTTAGTGTTCCTGGCATTCTGAAGCCTGCAAGTCCCATAGGGAAGACCCCATGTGCCTGTATGTTGGGTGCCAGTCTTTTACCTGCACAGTGTTTGCAGGGGATCCAGTTATAGAGCATTTACACATGCCTGCTCTAAGCCTGGGAGAAGAGGCTTGGCCTTAGAGGTGAGGTACTACCTGCACTGTCATCTGCTACAGAGGTTCTGCTCTTCCTTTGTGGTGAGCCCTTCAGCAAGAGGGTGGCAGTCTTCTCCAGCCAAGGGGGGAAATGTTCAATACAGAGCTCCTAGTTTAAAACCAAGTGATGACATGGGGTGCTGTGGCTGTACTGTGTGGAGTGCCCTTTTTTTTGGCTGGATCCAACAGTAAGGGAGCTGCTAGCCCAAGCAGTAACATGGATTTGGTGGGGTTTTTTTTTCTTGGTTTTTGTTTTTGTTGTTTTGGGTGGGGGGGGGGGGGG